TGTCCCGCACTAGCTGAGACAGTAGGGAGAGATTTTGAGGTAAGGAGCACTTGGCTTTGATACCATATAATTACAAAAGAATCGATGCCTTTCATTGATAAAGGAGGGGATTAAATACCCACTATACAGAGTGATTACAGGAGGAAATTGGGAAAAATCTAGGCTAAATAAGGAAGAAGTAATCTACATTAATTACACAGTAAATATAAGATCGGGAATATACAGAAGGTATATATTTTGGTTACTATTTTGTTGTTCCAACAACTTTGGCATCTCCAATACGGGGTGCATTAGGTTTCGTTGCTGATTCATAAACGTCATCATGAAGATCGTAAACATCTACAAGTTTACATTTGGCACTTGTAGGTGGTGAATTGAGGTTGTCGGCTGTTCTTGATGATGGAGTTGTACAAATGTCAGAGGGAATATTCGACACAAGAGTCCTATCAGCATTGTGAGAAGTAGCATCCTTAAATTAAAGAAGAAATAATGTTCATTTAGTAATATAAAGGATAACATATATAAAAAATGATGTTGTATTATAGCTTACCTTACAACCCATTGTGTCTTGAGATTCAAATTCTGAGCCAATTATATTAACAGATTTAGTATCCATATCCTATAAAAATATGTATAAAATAAAAAGTATGTTTGGTTAAGGAATCTAGAAAATAGTATTTTCAATATATATATATATATATATATATATATATATATATATATATGTTTTAAATTCTTTAAGTTGGTGTATTTTTACCTGTTGAATCCTACACTTTTTCTTAATCTTTTCCAAAGCAGAAATAATGTCAACATTTTCTGTTATTTTGGAAATGTTGTAAGTACGAGAAAATCTTGAAAAATTAAATGTCTTGACAAGAATCTTGAAAGCCAATTTTTTGTCGATCATGGCATTCAACTCAATAGGAAACTCACTTGTATTGCCGAACTAAAAAAAATATTAATAGATAATAACAATTCAATTGATTGTGTTGATTGGTTTTGCGCATGTATGTATGAGGTTTTTGTTGGATTAAGATGTCTAAGTCGGTAACTAAATTGGTATATTCTTGTAAGTAGAGCCAAAGTCCTTTTTGGGTTGCCCTCGTAACTAGAAATTAATTAGAATGACATTTATAGAGAAATCATGATTTATTAGATTATTATATGATTAATAAAGTAACTGGAAATTATGACAAAATGATTTGTTAATATATTATATGATTAATATATTAATTGGAAATAGACAGTAGGTTTACTAGTTTATTATGTGATTAATAAATTATTATGAGATCAATTGTTAAAATAATTCTTTTGTTAATTTATATGGTTAATAAATTGATATGAAATCAATTAGAATTGATTAACTATTAATCATAAATAATCTAGAAATAATTTACAATTAACTGGAATTTATTAGAGGTGCAAGGGGTGAATTGTAATTGTTCAATAGTTGAACAAAAGAAGTGATGCTAGAACCATCCAAGGGGTGGACGGTTTTAGGAGCCTCCTTAGGGTTTCCAGAAGCCTCTTTGATGTATATAAGGAAATGATTTGGATTTTGATTAAAATCTATTCAAAACTTACTTGGTCCCTAAGTTACCTAGACTATAAATATGACCCCTTATGATCTTGATTTCGTTCATACACTACCCATAAAGCCATAGGAACAAAATTTTCCTCCCCTCCTCCCTCCTCAATGGTCTTCTAGTTCTAAGGTTTGGGTGTGAGTCATTAGAGGCATCCAAGCTTTTGGTGCTTGTTTTCTAAGGAACTTCAAGAGGATTTGATTTGATTATTTTCAATAATAATCAAAAGGTATCTAACCCTAATCTTTATGTTAATTTCAATTTTCATAATCTCTCTCTATGGTTTTCTTGATGTTCATAGGTTATTTCTATCAATAGAGAAAACCTAGATCCTTGCTAGGTGCATGTGAACTTAAAGGTTTAAGTGTTTTTCTGCCACATGATTTTTTTTTAACCTAGCAAACTCAACAGTGGTATCAGAACCTTGATTTTCTAATTGATTGTGCATAATAGTGAACTGTTCAAAATTAGGGTTTATGGAAATTAAACCTTAATGGCCTTAAATTTTCGCAAAAGACTTAAGGTTCTTGAGACCTTAGCCTCCACTCCTATTTTCGAAATTGCTAGGGTTTCTTTTAGGGTTTCTAGTTTCCTTAATTATAATTTTAAATGCCTTAAAGTTTGGATAATACTATTTTTCTTTGTATTACAGTGATGGACTTTGTGTCAATTTCTTAGGTCAATCCTTAGGAATGAACGAGCGAAGGATGATCGATTCTTAGGGTAAATCCTTAAGAAATAAAGGAGATAATGGGGTTGGGTAATTGGGTCGATTTGTTTGACGATTAAATATAATAATTGTATTATTGTGGGTTGAAAACCATATATGCTCACCATGCTCCCAAGCTTGACTCACTCAGTTTTCTTTGTATTACAGGTAATGGCACAAGAGTATAAGTTGATTGACTTGACGATAGATTTCGGGATTATAGACTAGTAGTTGTAAATAACTGTCGTAAGGTCTGTATTGTACTGTTTATGCTTTTGGTCTGTATCGGAACATGACATCATGAGGTTTTATTATTTAATGAAAATACATTCTCTTTGAGAGATGTTTTGATAAATTTTATCACATTTTTTTGGAACGAATTCCGCAACTCTTTTAATCAAATGATTACTCTGATTTATGATTACTCTGATTTTATAAAACAAAGCATAAACAAATCAGTTTTTTCTAGCCGTGAAATTGGGGATGTCACAAAAACCTCTTCCCATCCTCTTCTTGGGATAGCACTTGAAAATTACTTCTAACCTCTTCAAACCAACCTAAACCATACAAAAAAAAAAAAAAAAAAAAAAAAAAAAAAACCCGGCTGACACATTCCCACAACTTCTCGTTCCAAGAAGTCCATCGCAGCACCTCTCGTCTCCCACCTCCCGTCGACCACACTCCTCCTCCCAGCGCATCCACCACTGGCGCAACCCCCCACCGACACAGCCCCCTTCCAACAGTCCCTCATCGCAGGTATGGTTTTTTTTTCGTTTTTTGCTGCTGAAGGCAGCACATCTGCTTGGGGTTATTCAACATTTCGATTTTGTTGGTGGAATTACTTCATTGTTCATGCTTGACATTAATTTTTCGATTTTTGTTGCTGAATCTTTGTTCTTGCTTAATCTTGATGCTAATATTATCAAACAGTTGATGATGTTGTTTCTATCTTGATAAATGATAAGTTCTTGCTACAATGTCTTCAATTTGTGCTTAAAAGTCACATATTGTTGTTTAATTGTCGTGAAATATTGCTGAAATATCATAAAATTGTTACGGAATTATTATAAATTGTTGCTGAATTGTCACAAATTGTTGTTGAATTGTTATAAATTGTTGCTGAAATGTCATGAAATATTGTTCAAATGTCATAAAATTTTGTTGAAGTGTCATAATTGTTGTTGAAATATGAATAATCTTTGCTGAAATTGGTTATTTTAATCAATACAAGTTGTTATGCTGAAAGTTCTTGGTATAAGGTTATGTTTGCTAAAGTATGTATTCCATATGTTTTTTTTATTAGCAATAGCAGATAAACATACATGGACCAATGAGCAAATAAAATTCTTATTGAACATTTGTATCGAAGAAGTACAATGTGTTGAAGTACTACGCATGTCTCGTAAATTATTTGTCCGACTACACGCGCATTTTAGACTAAGTTACGCGTTAAAGGATAGCAAACATGTATCAGTTGAGGAAAAGATAACTATGTTTTCATGATGATTGGTCATAACCAACGATACGTGATTATCAAGCGAAGATTTCAACACTCAAAACAAACAATTCATAAATTTTTGCATGAAGTGTTGGACAAAATGTTGCTTTTCGCACATGACATTATAGTACCAACTTCTTTTAATCCGAATTCAAACATTTCGGAACATAATAGGAGGCTATGACGGGTGTTATAAGGAGCAGTTGGTGCACTTGATGGCACTTTGATACATATTGTTGTCCCCCCAAACAAACGGGATTTATATAGAAGTAGGGGAAAAGGCGATTGTTACCAAAACATATTGGCAATATGTGACTTCAACATGATGTTTACGTTTGTCGTGGCCAGTTGGGAAAGGATAGCACATGAATTTTATCAAAAGCATTAGTAAATCCACAAGCAACACCCGTTTCCACCATCAGGTAAATTTATTGTTATTTAGATAGTTTTATCTTAGTTTGAAAAATAAATGATTTTTTTTGTTTTTTTTTTTACAGATAAATATTATCTTTTTGATGTCGCCTATGCAAACATTCGAGGTTTTATAACACCATATCATAATGTGAGGTATTGGCTTGGAGATTTTCATCGAAGACGTGCATTAACGAAAAAAGAAAATTTTAATCATACACATGCAAAACTTCGAAAATGTCATTGAGCATACTTTTAGTGTCTTGAAGGCACGATTCCCTATATTAAGGATGATGACACCATTCTCGTTGATCATACAACGAAACACCTTGCATGTTTCGCGCTTCATAACTTTATAAGAAAAGAGGGACTACATGATGAATATTTTGCACGATATGATAAACCAAATATCTCGGTTCGGAATAACAATGCAGTGGTTGATAATAAAGAATGTGAGATTCCAACACACGATACTACAGCGGACCGTGAATATGACCCAGTTACAAAATGAAATTGCCAAAAAATTGAAAGTTCGATTGTATGAATTTTATTTTAAAATGTTATTTTAAGACTAATTTGGTTATTTGAATCTTATTTCAATGTTTTAAGATTACAATTATTAAATTTTTGATATTAAAAGACTATTTGTGGTTTATTAAATCACTTTATTTTAAATTTTTTAATATATGCAGTAGCCTGCGGATATTAAAAAAACAAAAACGTTTCTCATTGCAGTCTGCAGTCATTTGATCCACCTCTTCTGCTGCAAAAGTCTATAGAAGTGATCCGCAGACATGAGACAGTTTCACTTCGGAAAAACAAACAGCACCTAAGATTAGTTGCTAAAATGTGGATGTTTTGTATCCATCGAGCAAAGTTTGGTTGTAATTAGATAGTGGCATGTGAAACCATATTTTGAGGATGCCCTAAAGTGTTGATGAAATCATTATGAAAATATAGAAACGACAACCTAGAAAGCTTGCATGCCCTAATCTAGTTTTGATGATTTATTTGGTGATTGATGTCTTTAAAAAACTGATTGACATTTGACAAGTGATATTTCATCATATTATATCGGAAAAAAGTCTTTTTTAAGACCAAACAAGCAAGCAAGCAAGGTGGGTCTCACATGAAAATTTTGTTGAATGTACAGTATGCAAATCAATGATGATGAATAAGTAAGAAAATAAGTGATGATTAGACATTGTAACCATTTGCAGAAGATCTCTTGCGTTGATCTACTGCATCATAGTGTGCAAAAGCAGCATCTAAAGCCTGCACCAACAAACAATAAAAGAATAATAATAACAAGAATAAGAATGTACAACAAAACAAAAGAAAATGAATAATAAATATTAAGCACACCTGTAACATTGGTTGAACAAGGAGGGAAACTTGATGCCTTGAATCTGACTGCACGGATTCTTTAATCTCCTGGAAGGAAATTATTAAACTTCTTTCAGTAGAATATACAAAGTTACAAACATAATTCTTCACATGATAATGATAATGATACAGTTAACTCCTTGATTGACCAAAGAAAAGAAAAGATACCTGTAACTTTGGGTAGATTTGTGACATGGCATCCTTGAGCCGGCTCACCTACATTACAAATAACAGGATGAAGGAAAAATCCAAATAAATAAAAACCAAACCAACAAAAGATATATATAGATTTGTGGCTTAGTGAATTGATTCACCAAATAGGTTTTTTTGAAATGAAATTATTACCTTTGTATAAAGATATGAAGTTGTGATTGGATATGAGGACCAGAAATGCTTTAACAATTCCTGAATAGACGTCCAATGCTGGAATTGAATATAAATATAAAAAGTTAATAAAAACCTACCTTTCTTAGAGTTATATTATATAAAACTCACAAGCAAAAGCTCATCTTTTGTGACAGTTGGCAAGGTATCCAATATGCTGTCATGTGGGTTTTTACCAAACCCACGTTGATATTTGGAGCTTGATATAGTCTGGGTCAACCCATTCAACACCTTCACAGCAGCTTCAGGTCTAACAACAGGATCAGTCAAACCTAGGCTTCTGATTTCAGATATAAAACCCCTCAAAGAAGCATACGTCTCAGAGGTCTTCATCCTTGATTTAAACTGTCTTCCTCCCCCACCTAACTCATCACCCATTCCCATTCCCACTCCCACAACTTGTTGTTGAGAATCAAAGTAATCCCGAGGATCCTGTTTTTTTTTTTTTAAATCAGTCACAACAAACAAACAAACATCAAACAAGATCCATTCAGACCTTTATAGATAGTGGTGCAACAGGAGGATCACGTGGTGCTTGTAGATCCTCAATCTCAGCCATCCGTGTTATCCGATCCAACCGTTCTTGATGCACCAAATTCCCATCAGAAGAGGCTTCTTTAGCTAACTCAACTGTTTCATTTAACACCAGATTAATTTTTCTGAACAAAAAAATAAATAAATATTGTATACTGTATACTGTATACTGACCACGTTTACAAGTAGCAAGAGCTTGAGCTACAGATCTTGTATCCCCTTCAGTCTCAAAATCTACAGTTCTTCCTTCAAGAACAACTGCAGCATGTCTGTTGATGTCTTGTAGGAAAGATCTTTTGAATGGCTCATATTGTGCTTCCAGCTCATCCTTCCCACTTTCAGTAGCTAGCCCATGACCCTATCAATTCAATCTCAATTTACATACATACATACATTACTAAAGAAAAAAACAAAAAAATCCAACTCTGTTTCTTACTGGAATATGTGTGTAATCATCTCCTTCATCGGCCTCCATGTCCAGAGTTGGATCTACCTTCCTAATCTGTATGTATTTCAAGTTACATTGTGATGTGATCTGAAAAACAGAATGTTGAAAGTTGGTTATAATACCTTGTGCTTAATTTCACTAGCCAGAATAGCATCTTGCCTTAAGAAAACTGCAAGCTCCTCATCTTCTGCAGCCTCTGCAGCAGCAGCAACAATATTTCTGGTGCTGTGAAGGTATTGTGCTCTCCAGTATTTTGTCCAAAAATCTTTCTCTGTCATCTAACAATCAATCAATATGCTTAGAAATTAGAATTACAAAGCAGGTTCATAATTCATATTCATTCTCTTTACTCCTTACCTTGTTGGGTACAAAATTTAGATATGCCTGCCTCACTGCTGGTTTTTCAGCAAAAATCTGGGAAAAACATTTTCATTTTCATGTATTAATAATAAAGAAAAAAAACCATCATCAAAGATAGATACATACCTGGTGAATCATCTCTGGTGTCAAGTTAAATGTAACTTTGTTCGACTGAAACAAAAACAAGGCTCCAAAATCAAAAAGATGCAAAAAGTGGACATATGAGTTTTGAATGGAGTGGAGAGATACATACCTGACCATCAGATGAAGGTTTGACATTGAAAATCATGTCACTTTTCAACCCCACTCTTTGTTTTGCTTTTCTACTGCTACTTGTATTATTCACATCTAGCAACTTCTGCACTTCATTGGTAAACATACATAAAAATTTCCCTGTTACATATATAAACAAAATCATACAGGTTTCATTAAGCAAGCAACTACTAACCTTTCTTGTAGCCCAAAATTCAGTCTCTGACAACACACCTCTTATCACAAACTGCTTATGAAGCTTCTGCAGCTCACTACAGTACACAAACAGTTTATCCACATAAATAATGTTCATGTTATTATCTCAAACACATAAACTATCTCAAATCTCAATAGATGATGAATGTTATTGTTAGCTACCTGTCCTCTTGCAGCAGCTTAATCCTACGTTCCATTTCTGCTGAGCTAAGTTGTTCATCTTTGTGTGGAAGTGGAACAGCTTTTTCAGAGCCACCTTCCCCATAAAATGTAATAGCTTTAGCTGTGTTCAATCATGTCAAGTCATGTCATATATAAGTAACAAAGAATCAACAAGAGAATAAGAACATAACAGAAGCACCAAATGGCATTCATTACCTACAAAGTCTCGACAAAGTTCCCTGTCTGAGAAATTTTCAAACTCAAAGATGTAATTACCCTGGAAATGGAATCATTGAAAGCTTTCTTGGATGAAACATCAAATGTTATAGACAGATATGTTACAGTTGTTGAAAGCCTGAAACATGATTGATATACAGTTACAAAAGAATTGAAAAATGGAAGAAAAAGAAACCTGATCTTGAGTGAGATTAAGTAAGGCAGGCCTGTTGGAACCCTCCTTGCTGGATTTGTGTCCTTAAAAAAAAGACAAAGAAACAGATGGAAAGCAATCAACAACATCATTGATGCATGGATGAAAGTAAAATAGACAAACATTCATAAGGTAATTTTACTTGCCTTTTATAAGTCTGAATTCTACATTAAGCCTGATGGAGGATGATGGATCATTAGGCATAAAAACAAACCTCTCCCTTGTCTGCAGATTGACTATTCATTAGTAAGGAAACCAAATCCTACACCTCATCCAATATATCAACAATAATTACATTAACAAAGTAAGAAAACTTATAAGAATCCAAAATAATTGGGTTTAAGAAAACTTCACCATTTTCAATGTCCCACGAACACCAGGGTCTTTGACAGAAGATTTGTATTTCGCACGTTTAACAACCTGCGTCTCCATCATGCTTCAGAAGATGATTTTCTTGATGCTAAATAACTTAGGGGCTGTTTCGTATTCGCTGAATGATTTAGCGCTGAATGGCTAAGAGGCCTGAAAGATTCATGTTGTTTGGTATGATTGATGAATGGATGTGCTCAAGGATAAATGTTACCATTTTAACCTTATGAACCATTTTTTGCTGAACGAATTATTTCTCTTTAACAAAACATGGAAAATATCAACTATAAAAGCCACTTTAAGTTTAGACATCTTTTGACATTTTATTAATTATTCATAGTAATTACTGAGCACACATAGCAACTATAAAAGCTCACCTTTCTAAACAATTGTTTTATGCTGCTGCACTTGGATACTTGCCAACAATAAACTTTTCTAAAAGTGTGAAATATTGTGCTTTATAAAAAGAATAAAGGAAATGTGACAGATGCATACCATGAACCGGCTTCTCTATAAAAATCCTCTTCCCTTATGCCTACTGATGCAAAAAAAAACTATTTTGATATCAACTGCAAGCTTTGTGCTTTTCCCCTTGAGACATCTGCAAAATCACACACCTGCTCAAACAAGAATCGCAAAATAAATGGCACTAACAGAGAATGTCAAAATTTGAGTAATGAAACAAGGGCTTTTGATAAGAGCTGTTCCATATAGGTTGGTATTAATCTTTCTTAACAGAAATACCCTTCTCTGAGACTGATACTCTTGTCCCATCTTCACTTTAAACTCTACTACACAACTAAGACCATCAATACATCAACACTAGAGTCATCGATTCATATCTGAACGGTGCAGATGTCTGGATGATATAGAGGCTCTTTATGAATCTGTATCTGAACAATAAATTGATGTTTGGTTAGACATCTGAATGTCTATCTCTTAACAATTTTAACCCTCTAAACTATATTTTGCATACCAAATATACATCATACAACATTCAATTACATATCATACAACATCTAAATTTATCAATTTGATAGTTCAAACTATGAATAAAATATTAAAAGTAGATATAACTTGATCATAAAATTGGATTTCACAAAAATGGAATCTGTCAAAAACACCAAGCTTTGTTCATCAACCTGATCACAAGCAATCTGAACGTACCAAGAACACCCAAAAAAATAAAATGGAATCTGTCAAAAACACCCAACAAAAATTACACTGGTGTTGACTAAGAATTTGTCAAAAACACCAAAATCTCATAAAAACCGAGTAGAAGGAACATAGATAGAGTTGATGGAACACGATTAAAACACCAATTTCATAGAAACCGAGCTGCAAGAACATGATTGAAACACCGATTTGGAGCAAAAAAAAACAAATTAAAAAACCTACCGACGAAGGGGAGGACGCGAGGGGGAGGCGACGAAGTCAGAGATGGAGCAACGCTGCTTGAGGCTGGCAGGGAGAGGCGGCGGTGAAGCCGGTGGCTGGCAGGGAAGCGGTCGACGGGGATGAAGAAGAGGAGGAGTGGTCGATATGTAGGAAGGAGAAGAATAAAAAAGAAACGGACGATGTTTTATTGTTAGGTCAAGGATAACAGATGTAATTTTTTTATTCAGCCAAAAACAAATTGATCAGCCAACATAGCAAGACAGCAAGAACATGAAAATAACACAACACATTGTTGATTTCGTTTCCAGAAACAAATTTAAGAGAGAAAAAAATTTAAAAATCGCTTCAGTGAATAAGGAAGAAAAAAAAATCGCTCCAGTGAAGTTGGAAACGTACCAGCGAAGGGGATGAGGCGGCGCAGGTGGAGGCGAATCGGCGCTGTATAACGTCCAATTGCAAGCTGAAATCGGTGGAGGGACTGTTTTGTTGTTCGCTGGAGTAGAAGAAGGAAGAAAAAAAGATGCGGACGATTTTAGGGTAAGGGCATTCTTTGGAAAATCTTTCATCCAGACTCCTTGTGATTAAGAGGCTAAAAATTTATGAGATGATTACGAAACCAAACAAACACCTCCTAAACCTTAAAACGTAATAACTTTCTTTTATAACCAGATAACCCCATCGACCCTTTTTTAATTTTTGAGTTTTATTTTTACTTTTTATGATAATCCTTATTATTATTATTTATCCTATTTAAAACAATAAAAATATCAAATTCGTATATATACTTCGGATTTCGGATTATCCGAAAACCCGAAAATCCTCATTATCAATATCAGAATCCGTATCCGGAAAACCGGATATCTGAATTTCGGATATCTGAAAAATCGGGTATCCGGTTTTTCGGATATTTTCGAATCGGTTTCGGTTTTTGGATCGGGTTTTCCGGATACGGATATTTTTAAGCGCCCTACCCTTAATGATTAGGGCTTTTGGTTCAAGTGATGAAAAATGAGCCATTTATGTGGAAACAAGAGCAATAACAACAATAAAGATGAGAAAACAAGAGTTTATGTATGCAACAATTCAATGATACAGTATCAAATGCTACGATCAAGGATTTTGTATGGGATTTGTGATATGTTATTTGCTTTCAAACTAATTTTCTTAGGTTGGAAAAGCACCCACACATAAAGAGTGTTTGTGAGTTACTATATATAATAGTCGATGGTTTGAGTAAATAGTTAATTGGACGATTAATCACCCCTCAAGTTCTTTTTCTCGTATGTAATCACCGATTCTTAATAATAGTTTTATCATACATGGTACTTTTATTAGCCACATCTCAAACCCTAAATCATTTCTTGTGCTAAGGTAAGTTAATAAATGACAAATCTTTCACTGTCTATTTTACGATGGTTTTATAAGTGTTGAGACGAGAGTTTTGAAACTTAATTTTTAATGTTAAAATCTTTTACGTACATTTATGCTTGAAATGTTTTCAATTTATTCTTGGTGTATGGGATTTATCATGTTGTTCTCGTGTCCAATCCTTCCCAACTTCGTTATTGAACATACAATGCATGGATGTTCCCCTTTCTCCCTCCTTTCTCCTTCTGGTCTTACCTAGCTTCTCCCTTTTTTTCTTTGTATCATTCCCTCTTCAACACATACTTCCTGAAACTTTTATCCTTTTAAGAATACGTCTCGATCCTCTTTGGTCAATTATGTAACACTCCTCATACAGGCTAGTAGAAATGTGATAATCTTTTGAAATCTTTTAAATGTTTTAGAAAACATTAGTGCAGAATTCGGTCCTAAAACATAAAACATCAATTTTATTAAAAGTGTTGAGTACGAAAGTATTCAAGTATTGAAGTACATATCATTTACAAAGGTAAAAGGTGAATCATGGGCCTTCTAGAATATTCAAGTATAATCCTAGTTGAAATCCTCATCTCCGAGTACATATCAAAATAGTAACATTAAGTTTGCGAGCCTAATGAGCAATACTATCAGAGATAATATTACCACAAATCACTCTAAATCATAATCTTTGATTTGTTCACCCATTATTCACTTTCCTTGTATATTCCTTAATTTATGTTGTACTCTGTACTATATATTGTTTGTTCAATGTTAAATGAAAGTGTGGTAAATTTTATTTTACCTCTCATGGTATCAGCCAGAATATCACCTCTTCTAATTGCAAACCCTAAAATTCTTTCTTTTGCCCTTCTCTTCTCAGACAGTCATCATCGATCCTTCTTTTGCTTCCCTATCTCCCCTCAATACAACTTCTTCTTCTTCTATCATGCCTGGTTCATCGACTTCACAAGACTCCCCTCTCCCCATAAATACTCTACTGCATATGCTCACGATAAAGCTCTCATCTGCCAATTTCCTCTTATGGCGAAATCAGATAGCAATGCTGCTTCTTCATCAAAATTGGATGCGTTTTGTTGATGGGTCTCATCCTGCTCCAGCTAAAACTATCATTGCAGAAGGTAAATCTACTTTAAACCCAGAATATTCCTCATGGTTTGATACAGACAAAAAAATTCTTTTTCTCCTCCAATCATCTCTCACAGAGGAAGCTATGGCAGAAGTTTTAAATCTTACAACCTCTCATGAAGTTTGGAAAGCCCTAGAATCGGCTTATAGCCATGATTCCATGGAACGCTCTCAAAATCTAAAAGATTCCTTACGTCAGTTAAAGAAGGGAAATCTCTCCGTTTCTGATTACGGGAAACAATTTAAAGCTATATGTGACAAGCTTGCTGCTATCGGACAACCTGTATCTGACATTGTCAAAAGTCACTGGTTTCTTTTTGGCTTAGGACCGACTTTTGAGACGTTTTCTACGGCACACAGGGTTGTGCAACCTCGTCCCCCTTTTCGTGATTTGCTTGCTCAGGCCGAAGGCCATGAGTTGTTTGTTTCTTTTTACATGGCTCTCAAACATCTCCTGTTGCCTTTTCGGCCCAACATTAGTCTTCTAGGCAGCAATCCTCTCGTGGCAGAGGACGTTCTAACAGTTTCACTAATGGTCGATCTTATTCTCGAGGGGCTATCTCTTCACGTGGCCGAGGTCGAAGATCACCCTACTGTCAATTATGTCGTCAAAACGAACAGTATGCAAGTGCTTGTCCCGACTTAGCAACTTATGCCAAACAATCTTCATATTCCGCTGCAAATCTTGCACAGGCTTTTCATGCTGATTGTAAGATCAATGAGACGACACCGGATTGGTATGTTGACTCCGGTGCCACCGCTCATATGGCGCCATCACCAGCTCATGTTGATTCATTTACTCCTTATCCACGAAATGAGCAAGTTTACTTTGGCAATGGCAATGTCCTTCCCATCTCTCATACTGGTACACTATCGGTTAACCCTCATTTGAAATTAAAAGATGTCCTTATTGTACCTAATATCAAGAATAAACTACTATCTGTTAGCAAACTCACTAACGATTACCCGGTTGATTTCTTGTTCTCTCAATCTTATTTCGTTATTCAGGACTCAATCACCAAGGATATTCTAGAAAAAGTGACGCATAAGGATGGATTATATATTTTGAGCCCCGATTTTCAAGCACTAGCAGCTACTATTATTTCTTCTTCGAAAGCTTCTTTTGAATTATGGCATAAACGCCTTGGACATGTAAA